CAACTGCCTGAAAGGAGGGTGTGGTGAGGGGGGGGTCGGTCTCTTCTAGTAACAAGTGGTAGGACAAGAGGAAATGGCCTCAGGTTGTGACAGGGGAGGTTTAGATTGGACATGAGGAAAAATTTCTTCACTGAAAGAGCAGCCAAGCACTGGACCAGGCTGGCCAGGGAAGTGCTGGAGTCACCGTCCCTGGAGGTGTCCAAAAAACACGTGTAGAGGTGGCACTTTGGGACATGGTTTAGTGGATGTGGGGGTGTTGGGCTAACGGTTGGACTGGATGATCTTAGAGGTATTTTCCAGCCTTAATGATTCTGTGGTGCTATGGCCAGAGAGCTTCGGTGGGCGCACAGGGTGCTCTGGGGCTCAGCGGGCCGGTCCACCATCAGCCCCAGCGGCGCGTGGCATGAACTCACCAGCATGGGGCTGGCTCGCTCCGTCCCTGGCTGCATGTACCGGAATTACAAACTGGAGGGGATGATCTAAACTGAAAACCCCCAGGAAATTCTTACGACAGAGTGCAAGGAAAGCCCAGGAGCGTTTATCCATAATGTGTTATCTTGTGATGTCAATGTGAAGAACATACAAGGCCACGCGAGAGGGAACAGCACTGAGTTTAGGTTTCACACTGAGTTTTGGTGTTTCAGAGTTCCAACCACGCCAAGAGGTTTGGTTCTCATGTTGGAAGGTGGCGAGGGAGAAACGGGGTCTTGCCAGACAATCCAAGCAGCGAGTCCATGAGAGGCCCATGTCTGGGGGCAGCTGAGGGGGTGCACACAGCGTGGAGGGACTTTGGAAATGGGGAAATTCCGTCATCACCTCTCCGGGCTGGACGTGGGCACAGCCAAACTCTAAATTTACCATCCCAGGCTGCGGATTGATGAACTGTTTCAGAGCTAACCCTGCTGGCCCCCCACCCCTGGGGTAAGGAGCAGGCCTGACAACGGGCTTACAGCGCCCGTCGCTTACCCCAGAGATGAGCAGCGCGTAACGGGCTGCCTCCTGTGGGACTCACTTTCCCCAAACTGCCCCCTTCTACAGCTCATCTGAGTTCCCCTAGTGCTCCAAAACTTGACCCAAAAACCCACGGAGCTAAAAATGAAAGCCTTTCCCTCACGTTAAGATCTTGTTTTCAAACAGAGTTCAAGGAATTTCTACCGACGCGGCGGTACGGACAGGGAAGCGCCCTTGCCCGCTGGGTGGTCTCTTCGCTACCTGTCAGTAATTCGGTTCAGAGATGTCGGTGATTCTGGTCCCATAGATTCGTGCCTCCCAGTCCGAGAGCTGTTTCACAAAGCCCCGGTGTGGTCTCATGTTCGTGTTGCATTTCAGAACATAGTCCCAAGCTCTCTGTGAACAGAAGGAAAGCAGAGAAGCGTTAGGAATTTGAACCGAAAGTGAATCTCGGGTATGGAGACGAAGCAGCTGCGCTTGTATCTTTGCATTTGCTCCCTGTGCTGGACAGCAAGAACCTGCAGATGAGACTTCGGCTACCAAAGCAGGGCCAGACAGGATCCAGCTGTGAACTCCAGAGAAGCCTGTCACCTCCATCCCCTGCTCTCCCGGGTACAAGGATGGCTCAGGCCAGTATCATCTTGCGTTATTTCACACCAATGCAGCAACGCCGTCCTGGATTTTCACCCTAAAACACTGTTTCTTCCACGGACAGTAAGTGAAGCAGTGAAGTGTCAGCTATTCCCAGGTGAGTAACAACGGCTACCATGTTTCTGGATTGGCGTGACCTGATGTGGCAGAGCAGCAACGACACCCCAGTTATCCCACTGCATTAATTACAGCCGCCTTAATCATTTGTTAGTTCGAAGTAATCAGCTCCGCACTCGGGGCAGATCCACCAGCACTACTTTGCTTTACTCCAGCTGCATTCTTGGGTTTGCCCCGTAGTGCCCATCTCCCCGCTTTTAAAACAGCCTGCCCCAGCGCTCGGAGGATTGCCTCGGCGCAACAAGACCAAAGGTTAGAAGACAGCGCTCCTTTGGTTTGTTTTTCTAATCCCAGCCATCCTGCAGGCTCCGAGGCAGATCTTCCAGTGTTCACTCCTCTGGGCCCACAGCGTGGATGTCTCCAGTTTCCCTGAACTCAACAGATCTACTCCCCTATCGGTTACTAACAGGATAAGGGGTCGCACATCCCAAATCTGCCTTCCTTTTGCAATACCGGTGTCTCCAGAAGCTTTCAAAGATCTCTGCCTAGATGGCTTGAACGGTCTCAAGGGAATCTGTTGTGCTGCTTTCGTCGGCAAGAAACAGCCTTGTCTGCCAGCGCAAAGCCCCAGGAGAGATTTGCCCGGCCAACAGCGGGCAAGCGCCGCCCAGGCGAGCTGCAGCACACCCCTGCCGTGTCAACTGCTGCTGCTGCTGCTTTTTGGGCCCTAGGAAAATGCTGAGAGCGACCTCTTGGCACCAACGGAAAGACACTGCAAGGATCAGCCTTTGACTTTTGCACTGCCGTTGCGAGCACCTCCAGTAACTTAGCGTGCAAGGGAAGGGATATCGGCGTGCAGGAGCAATCCCACCTAGCGTCCGCAGCAGAGGCGAGACGCTGTCTGCAGCCCTGCTGGCACGCCCAACCTGAAATTCCCCGTTGGCACATGGCGATGGCAAAAGATTTCCTCCTACATTGCCAGCGTTTGCACAAAATCAATTAAATGATTAGGTACAGCCCCAGCTTCACTGGAGCTTGGACCAATCCTTTCCAGCTCCCACAGGAGGAAACGCTTTCCAAACAAGGACAAGACTTTTAAGGAGATGCCTCTGAGTTCCCTTGGGAACTAGCCTGCCCTGTGCGGAGCGGGCACCGCCAGGAGATGGTGCCTACAGCCGCCCGATGCCCGTGCGCTGTACGCCAAGGGGAAAAGGACCCAGTACCTGGGGAGAGGCCACGGGGCTGTTGCACAGCCGGGTCACGCTCAGCCATTGTTCGTTATTTCTCTTACGTTATTCAGAGCCGTGGAACAGCACGTTCTGGCCACCAAACCCGTACATCCCTCCCGGGGTAGTATTACCCCATGCCAGATTTCTCTCCAGTAGTGTCTGTGGGATGGGATTGCTTCTGGAGAAACAAAACAGGATTTGGGAAGAAATCACTGCTGATGCTGAAATCGTCAGAGCCCGGCAAGCCCTGGGTTCTGAACTGCCCTGTAACCCCACGGTATTAAGAGATGGGCTTAACTTCAGTAGCTTCCAGATACTTTCACTCTCAGGTCCTGGAGAGCAGGAGTACTAAGCTCTGTAACAACAGCTTTATTTTTGTAGCCTCATGGTTAGGTGGGGAAATGCGAGAATACCACAGGTGCCAGGGTAAGGACTCTCAGACCCAAAATCACACCTAAGCCACCTCCTTAACGGCATAAAGAAGATGAAATCTCATATCATATAGCTGTTACATTATCGGGTGGATGGTCTGCATGAAAGCACATTTCTCATTACTACAGTAAGGAGGCTTCAGAAACAGAGATAAACTGCAGACCCAGCCGGTGTCTG